GTCATCACACCAAGGAGGAAGGCTGACTGGCAATGAAACCCAAGTGAGGGGACAAAGAGAGACACGGACCAACACAAGTGAGCTCCTGGATCCCGTCCTGCTTACAGTCATTTCTTCTGGACTTCCCAATTCAGGAGTTCCTTTTTTGCTAAAAACCAGAGAACTGGGTTCTGTCGCTAAGAGTTATAACTAAGAGTCTTGACCGGGCATAAGGAAGTTCCACACAAACAGAGACCCAGCAAGTTCCACACTTTCCTTCTAGGGGCCAGTGAAATGGCTCGGAGGGTAAAAGTGCTTGCCACCAAGGCTGGAACCCACACAGTGGAGAGAGAACCAGGTCCTCTGACAACACACATTTATCTGCCACGGCTCACAGCTCTCTCCCAAGTGTAAATAAATGTAAAAACAAAACAAAAAGCTTTCCTCCTAGAGCTTTAAGGAATTCTCAAGATACCCCGGCGCCCACTGTGTTAGGGGCACAGGAGCGTCTGAATCAAACAGTAGACCTGTGTTCAAATTCTGACCTGAAGAGTTTCCTTTTCTTTTTTATTTATGTATCCATCCTGGAACTCTCAGCCTCACAGCAGGTCCTCCTGCCTCTGCCTCCCGAGAGCTGGGAGTAACAGCACCACCATGCCCCGTCAACTAACTGGATGATTTCCAAATTCCTCACTCAGCTTTACTGAGTCCATGGCGTGGACTCAACGGGACAGCTATGTGTCACATAGTTCACTATGGCACCGGACAGCATTACTGCCAGTCTCTGTCGATCTCGGAGTGGTGGTCAGATGCCAGACTGCAGGTCAAGATGCCAAACTGCAGGTCAGATGCCAGACTGTGGCAACAGAAGGCCGACCTGGGCCCGGGGAATCCTGACTCCCCAGCAGCCTTCTTTCTACTTCGCCTGCTTCTAAAGTGAAAGGCTCCCAGGGCAGCCAACATAAAAGAAGAGGAAAGGCCAACCAAAGAGACTTAACCTCTACATGGATCTGCCTTGTGAAGAAGTTAAGAGTACAGACTTGGCCAGGGACGGTAGTGGCACTCGCCTTTAATCCCAGCACTAAGGGAGGCAAAGGCAGGGAGAAAATCTCTGAGTTCAAGGCCAGCCTGGACTCCCAGACAGAGTTCCAAGACATCCGGGGCTACATGGAGAGACCTTGCCTCTTGCCTCTAAAGAGAGACACATAGACTCCAGGACCAGACAGCTCAGCAGGGAAGGGAGCTTGCTACTAAGCCTGATGACCTGAATTCAACCCTGAACCTTAAACAGGGACAATCACATCCCACAAGCTGGCCTCTGGCCTCCTATACATGTATGTACATGGTGGGAGGGGGCTCCAAGATAGGGTTTCTCTGTGTTCCATGTAGTCCTGGGGCTCGCTCTGTAGACCAGGCTGGCCTGGAGTCAGAGATCCACCTGCCTCTGCCTCCTGAGTACTGGGATTAAAGGTGTGTGCCACCACCGCCCGGCAAACGTACAATTTTATAATTAGAAAGTGTGTGTGTGTGTGGAAAGCCACCTCAGCCATTACTAGTGCTTGCTACTCTTGCAGAGGACCTGAGTTCAGATCCCAGTACCCACAATTCCAGCTCCAGGAGATCTGACATCGTCTTCTGGACACCTTGAACTACTGCACTCACGTGTGCATAAACACACACACACATGTGTGTGCACACACATACATACACACATAATTAAACAGAAATCTTTTGGGGGGGAGGAGAATATGCAGGCGCTGGAGCTCAACCATCTATGTTCAAATCTTACAGGCCATGTGACCTTAGGCAAAGACTTAACCCTAGGTTCTATTTCTTGGGGTCTTAATGAGATAACGCTGATCTTCCCATATCTGAGCTCACCCCCCTATTTTTATTTTTTGTGGTCTGGAGCCAGTGGCTTGCCCATTTCAAGTCTTTACAATGGTGTACAAAGCCCCAGTGATCCCTGAAGCCAGACACTGAGAAAGGCTGCTTCCTGTGCTGGGAAGGATGGGGTCAGGTTTCCAGTGACGTAAGGCAGGAACTGATCGTTAAATCTACAGGCCTGGTGTCTGTACGTGACCTTCTGATCACAAACAGGCCAGGGGGCCAGGTGCCTGCTGATCTCTGACTGATGCTCGATTCACGACCACCTAAACACTAAGTCCCGGTGAGGACTCCGCTGTTCCTAGTCCAGCAAAGCCCCAGGAAATGTAAAGCTAAATCCACAGAAAACAGACCTTTCCCTAAGTCCCATGCACTGCCCTAGGGCTCTTTTAGATGAAGGGGGATTCCAAAGACCTTTTAAATGTTCCAGGGTCTGAGACACATTCCAAACAGGGAAGGTAAAACACAGACAAAACACATCTCCCGCAGAAATGAAGAGGTGCAAAACGGGAAACCGCGATCCCAGATTCTTAGGAGGATGCAGGAAAACTTTGGCTAATCAGGATTTCCTCATGACAAAAAAAAAAGTCCTTGCTATTGTTAACTTTTCCAGCAGCCAGACCCACTCCCCCCACACAGACAGACACACACACACAGGCACACACACACAGGCACACACACACAGGCACACACACACACAGACACACACACAACTATATCACCTTTGTCTCCCCATAAATGTCTCTCATCAGAATCTCTGTTCAACATACACACAACATACACACTGGACTTAGGACACTTTCTTCCCAGGAGTTCAAAATTCTCATGTGTGCAAAACAAAAAGCAAACAACAACAACAAAAGGCAGATTCAAGACATTTCCAGCACTAACTTTCAGAGTGGAATAACTGCGATCCCAGCTAGGACAATCAGCATGCCCACCCCTCAGTTTCCTCTGTTTCTTCCTCTTCAAATAAAAACTGTAGAGTTGGGACAAGGCAGCTGGATGTGGTGGCACATGCCTTTAATCCCAACACTTGGGAGGCAGAGGCAGGAGGATCTCTGGGAGTTCGAGGCCAGCCTGGTCTACAAGAGCTAGTTCCAGGACAGGCTCCAAAAAGCTACAGAGAAACCCTGTCTCGAAAAAATAAAATAAAAAATAAAAATATTAAAAGGTAACTCCAGTTCTAGGGGATCTAACACCATCTTCTTCTGGTCTCCACAGGCACCAACACATTCATGGCATACACACACAGAGGGACATAAAACTATAAGTAAATAAATAAGAGGACTGGAGAGATGACTTAGTGGCTTAAGGGCTCTGGCTACTCTTTAACAGGACCCAGGTTTAAATCCCGGAACCCACATGGTGGCTCACAACTGACTGAAACTCCAGTTCCAGAGGATCCGACGACACCCTCTTCTGCACCAGGCATGCGTGTGGAGCACAGATAGAAATACAAGCAAAATGAGCCCCAAGCAGCCATCCATTGCTGAACTCAGCAGCTGACCACCAGGCCTGCACCAGCTGGGTGCCTCTTCCTCAAAGGGAGCTGACACTCCACCACCTCCACTCCGCAGGTCCTTCTACCATGCTTGCTGCTCAACACCTCACAATGGTATCCGGATCAACTCCTAACTCCCGGTCCTTGGCCACCCAGCACCAGACACGTCATGACACCTTCCTGTCCAAGCCAGAACATAACAAATCAAAGGATTCCTTTGCAACATCTGCCTGCCAAGACTTGCAACCTAATTGTTGTTAATTGCATTAATTGCAGAGTTCTGCAGTGCACGGCTCCTCCTCCTTGTAGTTTTAAAAGCAAGTCACAAGGAAGAACTCTGAACAAAAGTCCCACTTGGGGAACCTCTTCTGCCACTCCCAACTCTTAAGACCCACTGTGGCCCAGCGGGACAGATTGTTAAGTGGCTGTGTCTTCTCCCTGAATGTGGAACCAAAGGGGCCCCAGAGAACCATGAGGGATCCAAGGCCTAGATCTGAAAGAGGCACCAACCCACCCATGTGTGCCGGGGAGACCACGAAATGATAACAGCCTTCATACCTGGGTACCTTCGTACCCGGGTACCTTCGTACCTGGGTACCTGAGCCTTGCTGCTCAGGCTCACCAGCATCCCTCTGCACCTACATCAGGACCTTACAGCCTCACTTTAGAAAGACCAATCACAGCACCCTGGACAACATCCTCCTCTGGACAAGGCAGAACTATAGGGACAGGGGAAATGACAACGTGTCTACAGAGGGGAGGAGGGTGGGAGGGTGGGAATGATTTCAGGCAACCCAGTGGTTCGAGAGGGAACTGTGTGTTCTTCCTCTTGGACATCCCCAAGTTTTCCTGAGTCTCTAGTCCCCCGAGCACACAGCGGAGGCCTCTGTGGACCTATGAGAAGAACCCTCCTGATAAGACCGCGATGCCATTCTTCCCAGAGCCAGCTCTTAGGTCCACCTTCGACCTATCAGGTGGAAAGCCCTGAGTCAAAGGGTGAGGGTTGGGTGCAATCCTCTATCGCTGGGTGAGGCAGCCAGCTGTCAACTGACAGATGCCTGCCATCCAGAATGACAAACTCGGCTTGCAGCAGCCTACAAGCAGAACCACATCAGACCCCCCAAAGACAGGGCTACGACTGTGATCTCTGATCAAGGTGAAAACTGCTGAGTGCATCTCTCAAAGCGCAGCTGCAGGAAGGGCTGAGAGAGAGAGAGTAGTTGAGCAGCCAGCGGCAGCTGGACTGTAGCAGAGTTGAGGGAGACCCCTGCGTGGGGGCTGGTCTGGTGTCCTTCTGAGCGTCACTATTTCCTCGTGAACACACCTAGAACTTACCCTCAGGAGCCAAAGACCAACTTTCTGCACCGAAGGGAGAGCGTGAAGCAAAGAGCAAGTGAGAGGGCGGGAGAATGGGGGCTTCGACTGGGTGCCCCACGAGGTTGAGAAGCCGAAGCCCTGGGAAATAGGAAGGGGCTGTGCCAAGCCACCCACCAGCCTATCGGACGCACAGCCTGGGCCACCCTCTGGGTCCTATCGCCCCACCTTCACCTCGGGGCTGGGGTGACTAGGTGGGGAAGGCACCACACGGCAGGTAGTAGCAGAGTTGCGGGACCAGGTGGCCCGGCCCTACCTGCAGCTCCTGAAATTCTCCTTCCAGCTCATGCCACTCGCGCTCACAACGCTCCAGCTGCCCGGACATGGTACAATGATGCAAGGCGGCGGTGGCTCCCGCAGCGTGGCCCGGCCGGGCACCGGCACCCCACGCCCGCCCTCTCACTCGCCGCCTCCCGAGGCACCAGCTGTTCCTGCGCAGCCGGAGCCACGCGCGCATCTGATGTCACGAGCCCCGCCCCGGCGCCAGCTCCACCCCTCTATCGAGGGTGGGGTCCGCGCGTGCGCACACGCTTCCCTGCTTCTGCCGCGTGGACGGCTCAACTTTACGTTCTTGATTAGATCTGTCTCCTCTCCTGCTCCTGTGTAATACGTTTCTCCTCAGAGTGGGTGGAGGGCTTATCTGTAAGCTGCATTTGTGGCTTATGTTACTTAGATTGTGTTTGTGGGGAGAGTGGGGTGGAAAAAGATTTGGGGGAGGTAAAAGAAAAGTCATGTACCCCTTAACATTGCCTGACCCAGGAGGCCAAACCAGTGTCTTGGAATGCCAGAGTTGACAGTGACCGTGTAATAAGGTCAAGGGCAGGGTGGGAAAATGCAGACATGGCTCTGACAGCTCACATTGGCATTGGTATTTATTGCAACCAATACTGCCTAGATTCCTGTCCTCTGTGGCACTAGGTGACTGCTGACAGCTGCGGCTGTCATTCAGAAGACACAACCACCTCCAAGTTTATCGACTGCAGTTACTTCCCTTTCCCTGCAAAGTCCCGCAGGAGCTGCGCCAGCCTGCCTTTCCAGCCACACCTCTCATCTTAACTGCCCTGGTTCCAGCTCTCCAGACAAATCCCATCACAACTTGGCATCTTCCCTCTGAGTCTTCATGTAGTGGCTTCTAGCCCATTCCTGGAGCCTCATTCACAGGGTACCTGCAGCCAGGTGTGGTACTGCACACCAGCCTTGACAGCATAGCAAGATTGTCTCAAAAAAATTAAACAAAATAAAGCAAAATATCAAACCATGCCTGTGGGGCCTGGAGAAATGGTTCAATGGTTAAAAGTCCATTCTGCAGACCAAGCTTGGGTGGCGTGCACACCTTTAATCATAGCACTTGGGAGGCAGAGGCAGGCAGATCTCAGTGAGTTTGAGACCAGCCTGGTCTACATAGTGAGTTCCAGGCTCACTGGGACTACACACTAAGATCCTGTTAATGTGATTAATTACTTAAGAGACACCCCCTTAACATTAGTTTCATAGGGCTGCAGTCACTACAAGTGGGTGGCCTAAACCCTAGAATGCACTTCTCTCACAGTTAAGAGGCTACAAACCTGAAACAGAAGTGCTAGGAAAGCCTTGCCCCACCTGAGAGCCTGGGTAGAGAGGCTTTCCCTGCTGCCTAGCGGCTCATGGCAGGGGCTGTCCATCCTAGGTGTGCCTTAGCTTTCAGCTGCATTGCTCCACTCTCTGACCTGCGGCCGAGGGGCCTCTCTGTGTGCCCTCTCTTATGAATGAGAGCTCCAAAAAGAAGCTGCACCTTCTCTTGAACCCTCTGCAAAGCTGGGTAACTGATTAGAACTTCAGTGATTGTGGAGAGGCAGGGATATTGCAGGTCCGGAGACTAATTATGGTTTATCGTGGGCTTTTATTTAGGGGGCTAAACAGCCATGGCTTGCCCACCTCTGCATCAGACCTAACATATAAAATTTTCTGAAACCTATTAACTGAATAAAACCTTAATTCCTGCTGGCCAAAGACTGAAGGTGTCATCAGGTAGCGTCTCAGGCCTGGAACTAGGATGTCTCCACTTGTCTATAACTCAATGTTTTTTGCGGTGTATTTTTAAGTGTCTTGATTTATGACTTTTTTTGTTCAGTTACCATCAAAACTGCATCAAACTGCTACCCATTGGGACATGGGGTACTAAATCTCTGTTCCTGTGTCACGGGCTATCATATTTGGCTTCAGAATAAATTATCTCTCTTTAAAAAAAACATTTATTTTATATCATATATATGAGTGCTTTGCCTGCATGTCTGTGCATCATGTGTGTGCTGGCACTCAAGGACACTCTGGAACTAGAGCTGATTGTGAGCCACCATGTGGGTGCTGAGAACTAAACCTGGGTCCCCACAAGAGTAGCCACTGCCCTTAACCGCTGAGCCATCTCTCAAGTCCGGAATAGACTATCTCTTATCCCCTTTGAGGTGTGTGTTGTATTGCAATGCGGACACTACCTTTTGCTAATGTAACCTCATCTCAACTAATAACATCTATAAACACCGTATTTCCACGTAAGCTCATACTGGGAGGTGCTAAATATTAGCACATCAGCATATTTTCCTCTGGGTCATAATGACGCTCTAAAAATAGTCAGAAACCGGGCAAGAGAGAACAGGGACCCAGGTTCAAGTACCAGCACTTACATGGCAGTTTATTAAGATTGATTGATTGATTGATTATGTATGCAGTATTCTGCCTTTATGTATCCCTGCAGGCCAGAAGAGGGCACCAGACCTCATTACAGATGGTTGTGAGCCACCATGTGGTTGCTGGGAATTGAACTCAGGACCTGTGGAAGAGCAGTCAATGCTCTTAACCTCAGCCATCTCTCCAGCCCTACATGGCGGTTTATAACCATCTTTTAACCCCACTTCCAGCGGGTAGGATCCCCTATTCTGAATCCTCAGGCATCAAACACATATGTGGCACACAGATAGACATTCAGGCAAACATTCATAAACATAAAATAAATTTTAAATAGAGGCAAGTGGATCTCTGTGAGTTCAAGGCCAGCCTGGTCTACAGAGAAAGTTCCAGGACAGCCAGGGCTACACAGAGAAACCCTGTCTGAAAAAAAAAATCATTTAAATAGATAAATAATCAGAAATCCACACCTTATCTCAATCACTTACCTACCATCTGCTTAGTTTATGTGACGGAGGTTGTCATTTTCTGAAGGGTTTGGTTCTGGCTGAGTGTGTATGTGTCTTGTCTCTCTAGGACTGAGGAGTCTCTACAAGACCTCAGAGAAATTGCCTCTGTCTTCATTGTCAGCAAATCCTAAGAGCTTAGCACAAAGTTGACTCTCAATAAATTTTTGCCAAATGCCAAGAAGGAATAAATAATAGAGTCATCTACTGCAGGGGCTCACAGTGTTTGGGGTTCACAGATCCACCACGCCTAGAACCCAGGAAAACTCATGTAAGTGCATAGGAACATACTTGCAATTATTTTTAGGAGGTGAAAGGGAACTGAGACAGGTGCTCATGTAGGCCAGGCTGGCCTCGAACTTGCATGACGTTAACTCCTGATCCTCCTGCCTCTGCCTCCCAAACACTGTGATTACAAGCGTGCTCCAGTCTTTGTCTAACTATCTTGTCTGGCTTGCAATGAGACTTCAAATGCATTTTCAGACCTCAGGAAGCTCCTGAAACTTAGAAGATTCATGAGAACTCCCCACCCCCAGCAGTGTTACAGAACAGCAATAACCGCTGGGAAGAGGGGGCTTTCCTCCTCCAGAGGCCAGTCATGCAGGTGCTCCAGGGTGCATGGGCTCCCTGTGCTGGGACGGGCTTTTCAGAGATGCAGCTGCCTCTGAGTCATCTCTGCTCTTAAGTAACCTATCTCCAAAACTCCTGTGAATAGCCTCAATAAACTCACCACTTCACCAGACAGACTTAGATGGAATCCTTTCTTTGGTCTGTCTGTCCTTGGTACCCTATCTGGGATGAAGAGTCATGTCTCTTAGGGGAAAAAAAAAATCACACAGCAGGATACCACAACTGGATACCAGCTTGCAACTAAGTTTTTTTTTTTTTTTTTTGGTTTTTCGAGACAGGGTTTCTTTGTGGCTTTGGAGCCTGTCCTGGAACTAGCTCTTGTAGACCAGGCTGGCCTCGAACTCACAGAGATCCGCCTGCCTCTGCCTCCCGAGTGCTGGGATTAAAGGCGTGCGCCACCATCGCCCGGCTGCAACTAAGTTTTGTTCTTATTGTTTTTTGTTTTCTTTTTTAGTTTCTCAAGGCCGGGTTTCTCTGTGTAGCAACCCTGGCTGTCCTGGAGCTCACTCTGTAGACCAGGCTTGCTTCCAACTCAGAGATCTGCCTGTCTCTGCCTCTCGAATGCTGGGATAAAGTCAGGTACTACTTTGTCAGGCGTATTTCAATTCTTACTTGAGACCAGAAGAGGAACGTGCTCTATGCAAGATGTAAACTCATGACCCACTTTGAATTCAGGTTCTCATCCCTGATCCCTAAACTGGTATGCTACTAGTGAGAGGTGCCTAAAATGGTGGTGGGCTGTGAGCGAATTCAGAAACCATTTGTTGCCCTCCCCTGGGGGTGGGAGGGCACTCAAGGACATAAAGACTGTTTCTTTTTCCTTTTTTTTTTTTTTTTGAGACAGGGTTTCACTGTTTAACTCTAGCTGTCCTGGGACTCACTTTGTAGATCAGGCTGGCCTCAAACTCAGAGATTCGTCTGCCTCTGCCTCCCAAGTGCTGGGATTAAAGGCGTGCGCTACCACCACCCAGTTTTTTTTCTTCAGATAAATACTTTCCACAGTCTAATGCTAGAAGTGAAGTTTTGAAAAGGAGCTGGTTATGGCGGGACACACTTGTCATTCCAGCGTTGGGGAGATTGAGACTGAGGCCGATCTTAAATTCAAGATCAGCCGGGCGGTGGTGGCGCACGCCTTTAATCCCAGCACTCGGGAGGCAGAGGCAGGCGGATCTCTGTGAGTTCGAGACCAGCCTGGTCTACAAGAGCTAGTTCCAGGACAGGCTCCAAAGCCACAGAGAAACCCTGTCTCAAAAAACCAAAAATAAATAAATAAATAAATAAATAAATAAATTCAAGATCAACCTGGGCACATCACGAGACTGGCTCAGTGCGTAGAAGGGTTTGCCATGCAAGTTTAACCCCCAAGAACCCACAAACTCACATAAAAGTCAGGAGGAGTGGCGAGCATCCCTCTGAGATCCCAGCATTCCTGGGGTGGTAAAGTAGGAAGGGGAGAACGAATAGGCTGGGCCCTCAGGCTAGAAAGCCTGGAACAGTCACAGTACAAGAGCAGAATAGAGACCCTGCTTCAAAACGAGGGGGAAGAGAACAGACTCCCCCAAAGACCTCTGACCCCTGCATGTGTGTTGTAGTGCTCATGTGCACGAGTGCACACACACGCGTGCACACACACAAAAAC